TGCTAAATAAACCAGGCAGATTGAACTTGCCCCATAGTGATACTGGAATAGGATTAGGGCATCATAGTCCTACTGGCTGCTTTCAAATGGGAACAGGAGCCAGGGAAAGAAGGGATGCATTCCGCTCCCTCATGTATTTTCATGAGCAGCACAAAGTGTAGCAAAGATAAGAAAGCATTCCTAGAAAGCTCTAGGCATTGGGTCATCTATGTGCCATTCCTCCAAACCTCACTCCCCACCCCTTACCTGGCCCACTTCTCTCTTACACCTTCATGGATGGCAGCAACACAAGCCCTAGGGTTTTTTTTTTTTTTTACCACATTGCTATTTTTACCACATTTTTCAACCACATTGCTATTTTAAGGAGTGTGTGTTTCCCAGGTCACGAGGAGCCAGAATACTTGTGCCAGTGGTCTGGCTATTACAGACCGTGTCACACAATCAGCAACATTTCCTCCAAGTGGAGAACAGGAGATTATGAGTGTCACAAACTTCTTCCAGTCAGTGTTGGCTTAGGGTGGTCAAGTGTCCTCTTTTTACAGAGCTGCCATAAGGCTACCCTTTCTTTAAAGGCACCCTCAGTTTGAAGGGGTCTCCTGTCCAATTTTCTGTTTAAAGATAACAGATTGTAAGAACTGCTGCCCATCTAGTATCGAGGCAACAGGTTGATCAGGCATGTACACAGGTCATGGTCTTCCACAGTATGATGACATGTACTGTAGTTATCTTTAAATTATAATAGATATGTATGTATTTGTATCAATACATATAAATTAGCCCATGAAAATTTTCTGAAAATTGCTGCTCAAGTTTTGGTGATGCAGTTCCACTTTGGGGGCAATTCATAAGTGACCCTTGGAAAGGACCCTATTCTGCTCCTTTCCCATAAAGTTTTAAACTAGCAATGATGGATGGAGATACACACACACACGCCCCTGAACAACAGTTCATGGGGAACATGACGAGGACAATGCTTGCCCTGCTTCTGAGATTTCCATTAGGGAATCTGGCTGGCCTCTGTGGAAACAGAATGCTCCGCCTGACACTGACATTCCTATGTTGCTTGGCTCTTGCCTCCCACATCCAAGCAAATGCAAATCCTGTTTGGGGCATTCTCCCTGCCCCAAAAAGCCATCACATCCTAACTTCTAACAAGAATATAATTTCTATTTAGAGTGGCCACTAACGCATCACCAAAAAAGAGGCAAAATGGGGGCAACAAGGATATAGGGTTTCATTTAATTTGCACGTGCTAATGCACCTCTGTTGATGCACATGTAGAAATAACTAGTTTAAATATAGACATGCCTCACTATAGCAGAGATGACTGTGTTCAGTCTTGGCTTGCATCTTGGCTCAACTTGCTGTCCAGATGCTCACTACTGATGGCAATTTCAGTGTCTTGTTCTCCCTTCTTAGGGTTACCTTACAAACCAGGCTTGGATTAGGTGGCCCTTCAAACAGCAGAGGCCTCCAAATAAAGGATTCTCCTCTACAAAGTAGGCCACAAAGTCATCCTATGTCCATCCAGAGTTTTCCAGTTGTTCAGAGGCTATGGCTTGCTCCTCTTTCCCTTTCTGATGATGGGATGGAAACCAACAAACATGCAAGGTGGAAAAACTGGAAGAGGTTGTTCATGTGCTTCTAGCAAATTTCTGTACGCTCAGGAATTTGTTCATGACCTCAAGTTGAGGTAACTTGATTAGTGGGGAATCATTGGGATGGTGGTCAGTGACAAGCAGGGTCCCCCAGGGCTCTGTCCTGGGGCTGATCCTGTTTAATCTTTTCATCAATGACATGGGGTGAACAGTCTGCTGGTCAAATTGCAGACGATACTAAAACTGGAGCAGGGGCCACAACTGAGGAGCAGATACTCCAGATCCAAAAGGATCTGGACAGACTATGGAAGTGGGCAGGAGACAACAGGATGGCGTTCAGTGTGGGTAAGTGCAAGGTATTTCACTTGGGCCATAGGAATAGGTGTCATAAGTACAGGTTAGGTGACAAGTGGCTGGAGAGCAGCACTTGTGAAAGGGACCTCGGGGTGCTGGTTGACTGCAGGCTAAACATGAGTCAGCAGTGTGATGCAGTGGTCAAGAGGGCAAACACCACCCTTGGTTGCATAGCCAGAAGTGTGGCTTCTAGATCGAGAGAGGTAATACTACCACTCGATACGACTCTGGTGCGCCCACAACTGGAGTATTGTGTTCAGTTTTGGGCCCCTCGTTACAGAAAGGATATAGCCAGGTTAGAGTCAGTGCAGCATAGGGCCACAAGGTTGGTGGCTGGTTTGCAGGGGATGCTGTATGAGGCGAGACTAAGGGAACTGGGTCTCTTCAGCCTGGAGAAGAGGAGACACAGAGGGAATATGTTGGTGACATACAGGTATGTGAGGGGATGTCACATGGAGATGGGTAGAGACCTGTTCTCCCCTGCAGAGGAAGGCAGGACACACTCCAATGGAGCAAAGCTCAGGGAGCCAAGGTTCCATTTAGATGCCAGGAAGCACTTCCTGACAGTCAGGACCCCGAGGGTGTGGAATGGGCTTCCACGAGAGGTTGTTGAGTCCCCATCGATGAGGGTGTTCAAAGATAGGATGGACATGCACATGGTGGGCATGTCGTGAGCAGAGCCAGCTGGTGCCAGAGGTCAGACTAGATGGCCTGGGAAACCCCTTCTGACTCGCTCTGTTTCTATGTTTCTAATTTAAGATTTATCTGGCAATTACAGATTGAAAATACATCCATTACATGCATAACTCTCTTTAAATCAGTGCAAATGTAGCATGTAGGGAACCAATGAATCACATCCCTCGAAAGGTTTTACCGATCCCGTTTCAAAAGAAACATATGCAGTAAGTCTGCAGGGATGTTAATATAACCTCACCACTTCCGGGAAACAAAAGCAGGCACTTTGTATCCATGCAACTTGCTTCATGCTGTCAACAGCTACCAAAAACAATTATTCTATCCAACACAGTTAATTTCATCTTTTGAGAAGTTTCTTTGGAAAGGGAAAGCTCAGAGGGCTAGGTTTTTTTAAGGAACATAAGGCACAGTTATGCACAATGCACAGAACTTGTCAAATCATGGGCTGTATTGACTTATGCATGCTGTAGAAGGAAAAGGCATCAGACTACTGAAAACCAAAATGGAAAACAAGAAGGAGATTTTACTCAAGGGATTCAAAGGAAACAGGAACATGAACTAGAACACAATAAAAATAGATTCCTAAGATGACCAAGACAGACCACAACTATATGTTAAGCGCTTAAGTAAAGGAGCTATTTTCAGAGGATGATTTGAAAATTATTTTGCTGGCCACAGCTACAGAAAGCCTTTTAAAACAAGCACAGCAGCACCCAGTGTGTTCAGACAATCTCTGGCATTGAAGAAGAAGCTAAGAAGGAGGGAAGAATTACTTTTCTGACTTTTCTGGGTTGGACAAAGGTATATCTAGTCCAGGAATTGTATTTCTGAGAGGGTGTAGCCAGGTAGCTTTGGATGTTCACAAGCAGTACCTGAATGCCCTGGTGATGTATGGGTCATTCCACAGGAACCATTTTTGGCACCTTCAAAAAGTAAGGATTTGGGAACATGAGTTGGCCCATAATATAGACCCCCCCCCCACACACACACAGTGTAAGTTTATAGGTTTTATAGCAAGGGTGCACACCATATAGCTCTTCACCAAGATGTTTGGGCCTACTACAACTTCCAGCAGCCCTAGCCAGCTGAACCAATGGAGAGGCACGTTGGGAGTTTGGCTTGCCAGATGTTCGGGCCTCCAGGTTTCCTACCCTTATAAGATGGGTAAAATAATAATCCAGCCTTCCTCAGAACTGCTGCCTTCCAGATGTGTTAGACTATTTCCCCATCCTCTCCATGGCAAAATGACAAGAGCTTTAGTGCAACACATCTGCAGGAACCAGCTTGGGGAAGACTGTTCCAGTCAGTTGCCTTACTGTTCAGACTACTTCTGAGTTTAGTCTCCCAATAATTTAGGTGATACCCCAGCTGTTTCACTGAAGTTAATATACTTCTATTAAGAAGATTCTGTTTTCTCATGGGTATTACTTACATCCACAGCAGTAAGGAGTGGCAAAAATGAAACAGCAGTACAGCAGATTTCCTGATGCAAGTCAGGAAGGATGACGCCCTGGGTTCTCAGGGATGGCTGTCAGATCTCTGTTCCACCAGAACAAAAACATGGTGGTAGATTTAGACGTGGAAGATCCTGGTACGAAACTCTACTCAGCCATGGAGCTAAGTGGGGAAATGTGGGCTAAGTTTCAGCCTGACCTATGTGTCAAGGCTAATAAAGAAGACCTCTTCCTGATACCAGGGAAATCAGTTGCCTATCAGTGAAAAATGTATTGCCTCTCTAAAACATTTATTCTGTGGTTTCACTGAGGTTTATCCGGCTATTTTCATTGTGGGAAGAAGAGGTGGCCCTTTCACATTTTTCCCCCTCAGAGTTTAATTTCTTTGCCTTCCTATGTGTTTCATTAAACAACCACAAAGTAGTGGTGCGGTATTGTACAATTGTGAAAAATGCACGGCCATTTCCTTGCACTACTAGTGCCATAAGATGATACTGGCCTTTCTTCACTCTAAAAAATTCCATGAAAATGGGTGGCAAGCACAAGAGGTTCTCTGGAGGAGGACAAGATCATGAAAAGAACCTGCAAACTTTTGTGCATGTGGACTGCTGGCACACAATGAATGCCTCAGGCAGAGAAGTCCCCAACTAGGCTGTCTCAATCTTGGGTCTCCTGATGCTGTCAGCCTACAACTCTCATCATGCTGGATGGGAGAGATGGGAATGATAGTACAACATTATCAAGGGGACCCAAGATTGAAATGAACCAACATAGCAGCTTCAAATGAGCAAATCATCGTTGTTTTAATTTTAAATCATGCTCTGTATCTGTTGTTACACTTAAGGTGAGTGATGCTTTATTTCATTAAAATATACTGGCAACACATCTTGTAAAAGAGTTAGGATTCTCAATAATTTATTACTATTTACATTAGCAAATTTTGTTTTACAGGTATTATACAAAAGAATACTGAAAAGGTTCCTAGGAGAAGGGGAGATGTACCATGTGCTTCCAAGCTGAGCAAAGGAAAAACCAGAATTGTATTTCCACCCCAACCCCATCCCTATACATACCTTCTGGCAATTACACCATCTAAGAAGGCCTATCTACAAACGTCTATCAGTTCTATGCCAGTTCAATTGTCAGCCCCAGCCCCCTCCTCTGGGAACTGCAGTTTGATATGGATGTTGGCAATCTTCTGTTCAAGACTGCTAGCACTGTTCACAGAAATGCAGTTTCCAGGGCCCCTTGACAGGGGAAATGATTAGTAAAGACACAATCCCACACATATTTAGAAAGAAATTTCATGCAGCCAGCATGAAAGTTGTAGGACATTTTGCCTTCTAAACTTGCACAGGATTGCATCTTAAAGCAACTGAGGTGTAAATTCTAGAGCAGGGTGAGCAGAAGGTCACCAGACAACTGTTGATAGATGTTTGGTGATTTGCAATAGATTATCAAGGAACTCTAATTCTTGATTGTTTAACAAAAGCACTTGAGGTTTAAATTAAAAGGTTGGAATCCTTGATCTGTAAGTGATTTAGGAAAAACATTTGTATTTGTGCACTCAGTCACCTGAGTCAATGGCTAAAGGGGTGTGGTAGATAGCCAGATTTGCCTGTAGGAGCAGAATGCTTAGTGAAATAGACTTGGCCTGATCTAGATGGCCCTTAGGCCTGGATCAGGCCAAGGCTCTCAAGTTCTCAAGCCACTAGTCCTCATCCAGCTCCAGGGATTCTAATGCAAAAAAGGCAGGTTGCTTACCTGTAACTGTCGTTCTTCGAGTGGCCATCTGTGCATTCACACATATGGGTGCTGCGCCTGTGCAGTGCCTGTGGCCGGAAAGATTGGAAAGCTTAACGGTTTTTGGCGAGAACTCCGTACCCCTCCCCCCTAATGGTATAAACAGAGCGGAGTGCCTGCCATTTTCCCAGTCTACTGGAGACTGAACGTTTGCCCCCTCGCGGAAGCAAGAGATATTGCAGGGAAAATTTAACGGGACCAGAAGTACAAAAAAAACACACCATGGCACCGTATAACCCATTCACCGACACCGAGCGGGGCCGGCGGGTGCATTGTGTGAATGCACAGATGGCCACTCGAAGAATGACAGTTACAGGTGAGCAACCTGCCTTTCTTCATTGTGGCCTCTGTGCATCACACATGTGGGTGACTAGCAAGCTTACCAGACCCGGAGGCGGGCGGTGTCATCACTGAAGGACAGCAGAAAGGACTGCCCGGCCAAAGGAGCAATCGTGTCTGGCATGCACATCAAGACGGTAATGCCTGGCAAAGGTGCAAGGAGTAGTCCATGTGGCAGCCTTGCAGATGTCTTGGATCAAAATCCCAGCAGCAAAAGAGATTGATCCAAACCCGGGGGGCAGTAGCCAGTCCAAACGGGAGGACGTTGAATTCAAACAGGTCGGAACCGACAGTAAATCGTACAAGATGCCTATGGGATGGGTGAATGGTAATATGAAAATAGGCATCTTTCAAGTCCAGAGAAGTGAACCAATCCTCTCTCCTAAGCAACAGAAGGATATTTTGAAGGGCGGTCATCCGAAACTTTTTGGTTTTGATGAACCTATTGATGTCACGTAGGTCCAGAATAGGACGAAGACCACCATCCCATTTAGGGACAGTAAAATATCTAGAATACAATCCATGGAGCCCTTCAGAGCATGTAAGCTGTTGAATCACTCCCTTATGAAGAAGCTGTTGAACTTTGTCAAGGAGAACCAATGATTGAGGAGTAAATCGGATCAGTCCCGGGGGGGCACAGTATTGAATTCAATTCTGTATCTGTGCTGAATAATGGATAAAACCCACTGATCAGATGTCATGGACTCCCAGATGGGGAGTCAACTTTGCAGCTGATCCCTAAAAGGGAGGGAGGAAGGTGAGTTGATGAGGAGAGGAGAGGTTCGCTCGTCCCGTCAACATTGGTGTTTGTCGGAGTCGGGACGGTGGTGGTTTTGTTGGAAGCTCTCCTGTTGTTGCTTCCGACGTTATTGATGGGGCTGGAACTGTTGACGGGCTGGAAATTGGGAGTATGGTTGGTATCTGTAAGACGGACGGGACCAAGACCACTTACATCGGGATTGGTTTGGGACCTCCATCCAATAAGCGGTCACCCTCAACTCATGTATGGTCTTCATTTTGTGGTCTGTTCGTGTGTTGAAGAGCCCTGAGCCGTCGAAGGGCATCTCCTCAATCCGGTGTTTGGTCTCTTCTGGGAAATTGCAGTTCCAGAGCCAGGCATGACAATGAAGGGAGACGGCACCAACCAGAGCCCTGGAGTCAGAATCGACATGCTGTCTCGCCATGGTGAGCTGTTGGACCGACACCTGCATGGCTTCCTTAATGAATATATGAGTCAGGTCTTTCTGCTGGTCCGGGAATGAAGCAGTAATATTTTCTAGCTTCTGCATCAAAAAAATATTGATACTGGGCCAGCGTGGCTTCGTAGTTCAAGATGCAGAGGCCAAGTCCTGTAGCAGCATAGATCCGGTGGGCCAACATGTCGATCTTGAGGCCCTCTTTATCGCGGGGTGTAGTATGGCCCCTCGACTCACGATCCTGGGATGACTCCACAACTATCAAATTTGACACAGGAGGAATGGGATATCCTGCTCTCGGACTCGATACATAGCTTCGTACTGATGTAAGGTAGGTTGAGGCTGATTCGGATAGTCCAGGGCTCCATCATCGCCTGACGAAGAGTTGTGATTAGAGGCAGGATGATGGCGGCTGATTGTTCGCCTTTAGCAATATTATAAAACTTGTTGGTACTAGGATCAAAGCGGTGTTGGGCTTCGATCTCGAATGACCTGGTAAGCCTTGCCATCAGTTCTCCAAAGGTTACTCAAATTCACGTAGGGTTCCTCTGGTGAGGTGGGACCCTGTGTTGAAATCACGGCATCCGGTGAAGTCGACACCACCTCAGAGTCATCCAAGTCTGAATCGTAGTGCGGCAGGTAGCTCGAAGAGGAGTCAACAGGCGAGCTGGGACGCCTGGACCTCGCCACTCTCGAGGTGGAGGGAGTGTGTCTCGGTGCCGGGGAGAGAGTACGATCCCATACCGACAGGTAATAGCTGCATGGCGGATAGTCATCCCAAGGCTCGTGATGAGGCAGCCTATGGGGCGGTTGTACTCATTCCCCCGAAGGATGGCCAGAGGTGCGCTGATGGTATCGCACCTGCTGAGGTGCTGCTCTCAGGGAAGGCTCAGGTTGAAGGCAGAGGAGTCAGAGAATGAGCCACTGGGGGAGAGTCATGAATCTCTCCATCAGAAACTGATCCCCACAAAGGAACGTCCCGTTGTTCAGGGGAAGACTGGATCGAGCGTACAACCCGTCTTGGAGACCCAGGCGGGGTTACTTGCATGGCCGTTTGGAGGGCCGGGCCCGTCGGTGTCGGTACCGTGGCGGCCGTCGGGACTGATGGAGCGGACAAACCCGAATCATGGTGTCTTGAGTAATCGGGCTTCTTAGGCCTATGAGCCAACTTTTATTTATTAAAAATGTTTTAATAAATAAATAAATAAATAATAAATAACTTCTCTGTTTTGTCCTTTTTGGGCTTCTTATGGCCCGAGGACTTACCAGATCCACCATGCTTCCTCTTTTCTTTTTGCTTGTGAGGAGAAGAAGAGGAGCATTGAACCTCCAGCACAGGAGCACCATCAGCCGATGGGTGGGGTGGAGGTGCAGTGGATGCGGAGGTTGGTGGAACAGATTTACCGGCCAGTTGATCTGATTGCAGGAGGGCCTGGTCCCACAGGAGTTTTCGCAAGCGATTCTCCCGGTTCTTTCTTGCCTGCTTTGTAAAGGCCTGGCAATGGCCACAGTTATCAATTCTGTGACCCTCTCCGAGGCAGAAGGGACACAGATCGAGTGGGTTAGTTGGTGATATTTTAGACCTGCACTGGGAGCACTTGTGGAAAGCCGCACGCTGAGCCATCGAGGAATAAGAAGAAGATAGAAAAGCAGGTAGAAGAAAAAAGGGGGTAATATATTTTTGGGTTTTTTAAACAAGGGAAGGGGTAATAAGAAGAGAACTTCTAACAGGGAGGGGAAAGAACTTGAAATCGTATGATTAACAACAACTAGAGAACAAGTACGAACGGAGAAAGGCTTGAGGCACAGTGAACGGCAGTTGCAAGAAGACTGGGAAAATGGCGGGCACTCCACTCTGTTTATACCATTAGTGGGGAGGGGTGTGGAGTTCCTGCCAAAAACTGTCAAGCTCTGCAATCTTTCCGGCCATAGGCCCTGCGCAGGCGCAGCACCCATATGTGTGATGCACAGAGGCCACGAAGAAGAACAAAGTTGGTCCCAAAAGAGCTGCAGGTACCATAGACCCAATTGTAGACCCTCTTGTATCCTACACAGGAGTTCTCTAGGTGTAGTTAATGAAAGCACCTAAATTATACAAACCTCCACAAAATTTGGCATTACCACAAAATGGCTGTGAGAGGTATATCGTAAGGCAAAGGGGCAGAAGGGAGAGAAAGAAAGCTAGAGGCCAGGAGGGGCAGGAACAGCAAGATAAAGAGGTATGCAGGGAGCAAAAGTGGAGCTAGAAGAGAAGCAGCAAGATACAGGGCATGGGAGTGGGAGAGAAAAAGCAGTGCTTAAGTCTAGGAAGAGAACGGGAAAATGCCTGGAAGGGAAGTGTGAGAAATAGCAAGGTAGGAGACTGGAGGAAAAGAAGTAGCAAAGCCAGGAGGCTGGGAGTGGGGAGAGAGAGTGGGTATAAAGAAAGGTTTCTATGGACAAAATACAATTGGATAGGGCCAGGAAGCAATTCTTTCCTTTTATTCCTGGTCAGTGACAGGTTCAGGAACAGAGGGAAATGCCTGGTGCCTTCCCATTTCACCAATTTTATATTAAAAATAAATCTTAGAAGGAGGCAGGAAGTGGAGAGCCCTGTGGGCGCTGCTGGAAGTCCCTCTGGGTACCATGGCATGGTGGGGGACTCCTGTGATAGAATATAGCATCAAACTTTACACTAAAGCATAGACTTTATGCAGTACCCAAGCACATGTCTGAAGCTTATTTCTGAGTGGAGAAGAACAAGGAAGGGCCACAGAGGAAATTCTGCCACATTCCACATTTAGCGCTTGCCTCATTCCCTGTGACTGCCATAGTAACATGGATGCTGTGCAGCCACGCAGACCCCAAGGCAATTTGGATTCACCTTAGGACCAAAGCACCTGTTACAGCTGCCATTGAGGTGCCCCTGCAAAGGACTTTCTCTGGGCACAATTCTTGCCCTGGTTGTAATATGTGGCGCTACCTTAACACATGGACCTGTGTCATCCTGATGTGGGGAACTCTGCCATGTGTCCCCACTAATTGTGTCCCAAAGGGTGAGGTCCAGGGAGCAGTAGGATTTGTAGCACTTTGCTCTGTCTAAACTGGTATAGGATTGGGTCTTTGTTCTAGGTGAGAGATTCACGAGGGGAAAAACAGTTTGGGTAGCCTCTTTGTGGCAAAATTCACTTGTCCCAGCTTCTAGAGAGCTGGAAGTTATAAGGTGTGTAATTTTCTAGTGCAAACAAATTCTGAGAGCTGCAAACTTTTCCTGGTTCAGGAAGGGGAAAAACTCATGATGGCATTTTTGCAGAACTTTCAGAAGGTCAAAGTACTTTAAAATTATGGAGGATCTCCCCCACCTCCCAACCCTTGGGAAGTAACTTGTTCCCTCTGTTGGTTTTACATTAACTATTATCATTTCAGGTGAAAAAGACAGGCTCTTAGAGGATTAAATCAAACCTCAGGCTTCTGAGTTAAGTAAAGCATTTGAATGTATGTACTTATTTCATGTTAGGCACACATGACGTAAGGCATCAGTTGCTCTGGTATCTCTCAGTGAACAGCTGACAATGGCATTTCTGCTCAGTTGCTGCTCTGAGGAATGAAGAAAAAAGCAAACTGGTGTCTGAATATAGGAGGTCTTTCAGTGAGGACAGTGACAAATACCAGGACTGCTTCAGAGAGGAGAAACACAGGGGGTCTTCCTGGTGCCACATGATTTGCATAACCCGTGTTTTGTCCCTGCAGCAAGGTCGATTCCCCCAACACTCTTGGCCCATTCTTCTGGGCAAAATGCAAGTCTCTTTGTCCGTCAGGAGGGAGCTGCTTCCTCGCAAGGCACCTCCAGAAGCCACAGGAAAGAGCCAAGCCTGTGCTATCCATTTCAAGTCATATTTGGCAGATAGCCCTTGTTGGCCTGGCATCACACGCCTCGAGCATGACTCACATGGGCAAAGCGATGGAGTGGTGAAGGTCACAGGGGAAGAAACCCGCCTGAGCCTGGCCGCAAGGTCCATTTGCGCAGCCTTAGTCCAAAATATCCGTTTCAAATGGGACCAGGTGGTAGTAGGAGAGGTTAGTGACGTATGCTGTGGGGTCGTCACTGTCCTCAAGCTCTGGGGTGAACTCGTTGACATTCTCAAACCTAGAAGAGGATGAAGCACAGTGTCAAGGGCAAACCTTCTTAGGAGTGCTACAATACACAAGACGGGAATTGTGCCCGAGGTGGGACATATTAAGCAGACAAAAAAATAAAACTCTGGGGAAGGGGCAGAAAAAAATATTGCTGTAAAACAGCCTTCCTTCCCCTATGCTGGTGCCCTCAAGATGTGTTTGGCTGCACATGGCCATGCTGCACAATGTCTGTGAATGATGGGAGTTGCAGTCTAAACATCTGGAAGGCAGCAGTTTGCAGAAGACTGCTGTAAGGAACCAGAGACTGAAAACGGGAACTCTGGGCCCCAGCGTCTTACTCTCCACTCAAGCAGCTCTCGGGCAGAGGGAACAACTGGCTTAATATTTGTGTAATTATATATAATACACTTATAATATGATACACTTATAATATGTGCAGTACTTTGTCTGTTTGCAGTAATGACATCTTTTTCCAGCCTCAAGAGTACACACAACCCACACAGCCTCATCCAGACACAGGGCAGAGAGGCCAGGATCTCCTGAGCTGTTTTTGGAACTGGCTGGCCTTTGATGTGTGTTGCTTTGGACTTGGCTTCTCAGTCTGGGAAGCTTCTTGCTGGAGCAACTCTACATATGCTCCCTTTGGAACCTGACTGCTTGCTTACCTAATCTGGATACCACACTGGCTCCTGTCCTCCCTATTCTTTCCCTACTACTCTGGACCCGGATCTCCGCCAGCTCTGGCCCTTCCAAGCGGCCTGCCAAGACCTCGGTCCTGAATGGCCACAGCGTTTGGAACTGAATGAGGAGCAGCAGCGAGAGCTATCAGCCCAGTGGCATTGGAGGCATGATGTGCAAAGGCCAACCCGGGCCCAGCACCATCACCTGTTCTGACCCACAGCCAAAGCACATCCAATTCAGGGACCCCTGAGTTGCGACCTCTGTTCCCCAAGAACCTGCATTTTTTTGCATGGCAAATATGGTGTACTTCACATTGTACTTTAAAAGATTGTTGCAAACTGCCCAGAGAGCTTCTTCTATCAGGCGGTATGGAAGTTAAATAATAATAAAGCCGCACACCCCTGAAGAACTGACTTCCTTCATGCCAGGAACTTGCATTCCCATGTCAAACTAGAAAGATGACTGAAGACAACTGGCCGAAAAGGGGAGGGGTAGGGAGGAGCAGCAGCTAGGCTGTGAACCAGAGGTCCTGCAGTCCTCGAGGAAGGAGTGGAGTCTGGAAGGGCTCATCTTCCCTTGGAAAAATAAATGCCCTCAGTCCCTGCGGAAACTTTGTTGAAGCAGGCTGCTTACTGGCACTTTCCTTGCTTGCTGCCTTGCCCCATCACCCTCTGCAGGCTTCTTGTCCAGATCCATTCAGGACCACGTGAACCATAAGGAGAAAGGGCCATTTTGGAACAAACATGTCCCCATCCCAAGCACCTTCTTTGTGACTGTCTTGAAAGAAGTTCCTTTTGGCTTATGTGGGTTGCAAGGATGCTGCCAAAAATGGCATCCAAGTCCAGTTCTCTTCCGCCTTCTTTTCCAGAAAACATTTACCCCATGATGTGACATCACCATGCTGGGTGTTTCCCCACCCACCACCAGTAATATGCTGGAGGGACAAGGAAACTCATCATCCCTCATGTAGGAGAACTTGGTGTCCTCCAGATGTTTTGAATTGCAACTCGCATAACCACCACCCATTGAAGTTACAGGGTCAGGTTTATGGAGTCCCACGGGGCACCAGGTTGCCCACCCCAGCATGAATATTCCAGTAGGTTATGGGGAAAACTTGACCTATGATTGCCATTTTGCTAAGTCACATGGCCTTGGCTGGAGCCAATGTTTACAAGGTTGGTACGTGCACATTATCTCTAGGTAGGTAAGCTGAAGTTCAGAAAATTATGCCTATGCCAGGCTCTAGATTAAGCCATCATCTCCTCAGAGAAAACTAGTATGCTTCAGTAGCTGGTTGCTGCTGAACCACACACCTACTCAATATGGAATCTACACATTCTTTCTTTCGAGAGTTCACCAAGTGATTTCTATGGCAAATGAAGTGGGTAAGAGTTCTATAGCCATGGATCTGAGCACAACTGTTTATCCACAACAATACTGATAGAGCTGAAAGCAGTTCAAGGAGCAGGTATGATCTGGCCATGCAGGCCTGGTTCCCACACTGCAACAGTCAAAGATTTGGTTAAAACCTGGGTTGCTAGGAATGAGCCAGAGGAAAGACTAAACGATCAAGGAATGCTATTCCCTGGCTTGCTTAGCATTGCACTTGAATCTGGTTCATTGGGGAAGCCAATCCAGAAGACACCTTTCTTCCCCAACAAGCCAGAGGTCTGGGGTCAGACACAATGCAAAACAATGCAGGGACAAAGCTATTTAGTTGCTCCTGCTCACAGCATCTATCAACATGCTGCCACATCCATGACATCAGTAGAAAGCACCAAGAGAACACTCAAGTTTAAATCGGGGTGGGTAACCTCAGACCTGCAGGCCGTATCTTCAGGGTTCCTAAGCCAGCCACCTAGGATTTCCCAGATGGCTCTGCCCCCTTTTGTTCAAGCACCAATCCTTCTGTAGTTTTCTCACTTTCATGCAGTTCTCCCTACCCCATTCTAAAAAGCTGAAAAGCTAAGTTCTCCTAAAGCTTAGTTAGCTAAGGGCTTCAAGATGCTGGCATTCTTTGACTTTGGCCCCAGAATTTTCACCAGCTGTTCCAAAGACTTCTGTGCTTAGCATATACTGGGCAGCACAGAATAAAATATTTTGTTTAGCCCCCTGCATTTTTGGCTCTCCCCAGCACTGGACTGAGGCACCCAAGAACTTCTCTGAGATCCACTGGGACTCTGGTTTAAATAAACCCTGGTTTGTCATTTAATTTCATGGGTTGTTGTTTCATGCAAATCAGGCCATAGAGTTGTCTTTGTTGTTCTCAGGCATTTTTTTGTTATGGCATATATCTCTTTCTCAGGGATGGTACCCTTCTTCTCCATGTTTTGAATTAACTGGCATGCTATTTGGCTCAATTAACTGAAAATGTTCAAAGTTCTACCAGGAGTTTAAGCATGTGGGACCAGCAAACACATATGCGGACTCAAGTCACACAGTTTGGCTACAGTGAGCCTACTTGGTTTTAGCCTAACAGCAAAATGTGCGCAGACCATAATTTTGCATGTGTTCCTCAGCCCTACATCACCAATGAATCACAAAGGTGCCTTTACATCCTGATTGAAAGCAGGGTCACCATGACACAAGCCCTGTTTATTAGTCAGGCTGTTTCATTTTATTTGGGTGAAAGCTGAAGGAAAGAGGTCAGTTAGAAAGTACTTGGGTAGTGAGCCATAAGTGAACCCCAGAATCTTTTTATTTCACCCTGAAAGCTGCCAGCAGCTGTCCCAAAGACCTCTGGGCTTAGCACATACTGGGCAGCACAGAATGAAATATTTTCTTTAGCCCTGAAAATGAAAGTGACACCACTTCTTTGGTTGTGGGTTTTGCAACAAGTAAACAAGTGAAATAACCACAACTAAGGTTTTTGGGGTATGTTTTTTTAAAACCTTCTTTCTTCCCCTTTAATTATTTACCTTTAAATTTCATCTTTAAAGTTTATCCCCTTCTGGGAGCCACTCACAGACAGCTCACATGACCCACTTGGATGTGGGGGTGCAAAGGAAAGTTGAAGGGCTCTGGGACATAGCTTGACATCTGATGAAACATGTGACTGGCCACATTCTAGCTTGTGACTCAGCTGCCTTCTGTTGTTTCATTGCACAGAGGTCCAAGGTGTGGTAAATATTACATGTTGAGCTGCAAGTTGGTTTACAGTTAACTCATTCCCCTCAGCTCTTACATGAATTGGCCTTCTTTCAGGATGGATTCACCCAACCATGGTGCTGGTTGAGTCATGGGGAAGTTTGCATTACAGGCTACTTGTTCTGAAAGGGTCAAGTGAAACCTCCACCAAAGGTCCAGCTTAAAGCTGAGCTCACCACCTTCAGTGACTACTACATATTGGCAAAAGGAGGGGGGGGGGGAGGACTTGTTATTGCCAAAAAAAAAAAAAAGACAAGTGGTTGTACAAAAACTTCCTGTGCTAATTTATATGTTTTAATGCAAACTTTAAAATAATTGCTAAGATTACTATAATTTAAATAGAAATACAATGCATCTTGAGAGCCAGTGTGGTGTGGTGGCTGGAGTGTTGGACTGGAACTCAGGAGATCTGCATTCTAGTCCCCACTTGGCCATGAAGCTCGCATCTGATTTTGGGCCACTCACTCTCAGCCTAACCTACCTTACAAGGTTGTTGTTCTGAGGATAAGGTATGTAAGCAAAAAGGATAGGATATGAATGCAATGTAATAAGAATAATAATAATGTTACTGTAGTGAGGAAGACTACAACCAAATGACCTGTGTGCCTGCTGAGAGCCCCTTGAGTGCTCTCTACTGATGGGCAACTTCAAAACTTTATTGCTTATATTTATTTTTTATTTTACTCTTAACCTATGGCTGGTTTTATAGGGTGATTGTTATGAATGAATTGTACTGTTTTAATCGCTGTTAAAATGTTTATTATGTTGTGAGTCGCCCAGAGCCGCATATGATTAATGGGGCAGCATACAAGCCAAGCACAAATAAATATTTTATTTCCCTGTTTTCCCTTCTTGTGGTTTTTAATGGTTCTCTGTCTTTAAACCAGGCTTTAGCTAGACAGTTCTTCAAACAGAAGAACACTGTCAAATAGAGAACCATCTTCCTGATCCTACAGGACAACGTCTGCCCAACTGGATGAGAGTTAGGGCAGCTGAGAAACTGGGACTTTCAAGAGCTAAATATATGATTCAGCAATGAGTCTGGGATTTAGCTCTATAGGAAGATACCACAAGGTTTCAGTGCTATTTGGCAGCTGGCAATCACAATAAATACTTTGTCCCAGCAGATTACCCTGATGCTTTTGAAATTTCTAAATAGCACAGGGCTTTTACCTTTGTGCACTTTAATGTTCTGCAATCAGTGTTTTTGGAAGGGAGATACTCATGAACTCCTTATTTTCAGTGTCTCTACCCCACCAATCTGGCATGGCTGAAACAGTTGAACATGTTTTACTGAACTCTCTATATTATAAGGACATTTATTCCTATTACATTGCTCCAATATTAACAAACTTCCCAGGCAGAATTGCTAAGCTTTATTCTTCCCTTCTTCTTTGAGTTTGTGCTAATGGATTTCCTCTCAAGGTGGCAAAATTCTGCACTCAGGAACGCTCTGTTAGGAATCAGATGGTTAAACAGTATGATCATTTGCTTAATCCGAGCTGATACTGAGAGCCTGTCAATGAAGTTAGTTTTATCTGAATGTGTTACCGATGTATATTTTGGACTTATAACTTGAATCAGTATTTGCTTGCTGATTTTATGCATTGTTCTTTTACTAGCTTGTCTGTAACCATAATGAAGACAAACAAACGGAAGACTGTCCTCTGTGAAGTGGGGCACATGGCCACCTTAACACTACCACACACAAATCCTAAGTTGGGTTCCATTATATGAGATGTCCAGATGTGGTTTATACCCCTACATTTTCCTCATGATGCTGCAATATTGGTGAAAACCACGATGGGAATTTTTATAGAAATGTATTCTAAGCATTTTAATAAAACCAAAATCCCCAGAGAGCCTGCCACTGTGTTGCTGCGGAAGCTAACCTTCCTTACCTTTATGGATAAATTAGGTTTCCATTTTTGCTAAACAGAAATCAAGGGTATGTGATCTCTGCTTCCCTCCTGTTTTGACATTTACCACCACCAATTTCATGCTACTTGCAAGTAAAGATATGCTTTCTTTGAGGGCAAAGTTTCACTCTCCTGTTTTCCAGTTATCACCTAAATAATTACCTGTAAAGGGACTGAGCTATAAATACTTTATGCTGCAGCTAAATGACTTCAAAAGTGACAAGACTGCAACAGCTAAAACTTCCAGATTACAGCATCTGAAGGGACCCAGTGATGTCCTATAAACTGAAAGGCAGGCACTTAGAGAGGAAAGAGTGCCACCTACTGAGTTAGAAGACCTCTTTCTGAAGGATGTCCAAAGTACTTTGCTGCTTCCTATTAATCAGGTATTAAATCACACACACCCAAACTACTCCTCAAGTCTGCAAAGTCCATCCAGCCAAACATGTTTGCCCACCTCACACCCTTAGCCTGTGTGTGACTTTTATTCCTGACAGTGGAATTAAATTTCATGAACCGGAGCACTAGTGGAGTGTTTGGTTTTGTGGAAAATGTTTGCATGAGTGTTGAAGGGAGGGTGTTGAAGGAAGTTGAAAGAAAAGCTTGTGGGTTCAATTAAGGGATGGATGCATGGAGACCCCTTCCTACAGCTGCATATGCATAGTCAACAGATGTGGGCAAGAATCACAGGACAGGAACCATAATTATAATGACATGACATCACAAATGCATGGTGGATCCATTTTACTGTGGTGGGTTTAATTTGTTTTAGCATTTTCCTCCCTTCCTCCTTCCTGTCTTCCCCTTGCCTGTCTCAAGAGATTAAGAGTTTGCTAATTATACCACAAATATTTAAATTCTTAAAGATGCTGTTACCCATAGCTAATTAAAACTTACTTCACTGACTCATCAATCACCTGCCACAATGGAATTTCCAAGCAATCTTCTACAATGAAAAACTGTCAAGTTAGCTGTCTATGAAAACTATATTTAATAGTTTGATCTAGTTGCATATATAATCTTAACTCCTGATGGAAGCTCCTATTGTTATCACAATGTCTGCAGCAGACAAAAATATTTGCAGGCAAAATTAAATAGACTAGAATAGAATAGTTAATACCTCTTGCTCCATTTCAGGTTCATAACCAGGTGCCTACACTATGCTTGGTACTCTTGCTGCAGAGGAACATTTGAAAAAGCAAAATAGGTGCCATATGCATTTCAGAACAACAGAGAGTGTTGGTAGTTCTTACATTTTCAGTTCTTGTTTATGTCCAAATGAATACTAATGTTGAATACACATCCCATCACCGTACAGAGGGGAAACATACCAATAAGAACCCTGTTACTATGGTGGGTGTTCCAGTTATACTCAATCAGAATAATAAAAGAGAATATAGAATAGTAGAGTTGGAAGGGGCCTATAAAGCCATTGAGTCCAATGCCCTGCTCAGTGCAGGTCTCCAAGTAAAACCATCCCTCTCAGACAGCTGTCTGACCACCTCTGGAATGCCTCCATTGCTAAAGAGCCCACAACCTCCCTAGGTAATTGGTTCCATTGCCGTACTGCTCTAATAGTTAGGAGCTTTTTCCTGATATTTAGCTGGGATCTGGCTACCTGTACCTTAAGTCCATTATTCCATGTCCTACACTCTGGAATAAATGAGAAGAGATCCTGGCCCTTCTCTGTGTGACAGCCTTTCAAGTATTTGAAAAGTTCACTCATATCTCCCCTCAGTCTTCTCTTCTCAAAACTAAACATGCCCAGTTCTTTCAACCCCTGCTCACAGGGCTTTGTTTTCAGTCCCCTGATCATCTTGTTGCCCTCCTCTGAACTTTTCCCAGCTTGATTGCATCTTTTCTAAACGGTGGTGCCTAGAAATGGACACCATACTCAAGATGGGACCTAGCTAGTGCCAATTAGATGGGTCCTAACTAGTGCCAAATTCACGTGATTTGGAAACTAAATTTCTAGTAATGCAGCCCAATATAGCATTTGCTTTTTTTGCAGCCCCATCACACTGTGGACTCATAGTCAGCTTGTGATCTAGGGAAAGACTAATAAAATTTCATGGAAGAATGTCATTTTGGGGGAAAGTCTAGGTTTTCCCCTTCTTTCCTTGCCCTCTCTTACCACCTGCCTTTCCTCTACTTTGACCTGTCCCAAATTTCTATCTTCACCTAACTCCGCCTCCATACCTATGGGTTCCTCCAAACAGTATGAAAAACTGTTTTTGTCCTCTCCCGATCATCTCTCAGTCCAAAGTTCTGCTCTCCCCTTACACTGCACTGCTCTTGCCCTCGCTTAACCTTTCTCCCCAAAGTTAGATCCCATTTGGAATGGGGCCAATATGCCACCTTCTTCTTCTTCCCAAACCGGTTTCCAACATTTTGTTTCTTGATCATACACAGCAGGATGCAGATGGGCATGTGCCCTCGAAGATCATCTATACTTACAAATGTTCTGCTGCATCAACATCCAAGTGTTTTTCTTTTCCATTTGGTATACTATGATCAATAACTATTGTTTCAGTGTTGGCTAAACAAAATCCATTAGATCTCATGATTTCTATGGAGGAAAGAAAGGAAAAGGAAAACATCAAAAATAAGTCAAGAAAGATACAAAGAAATATGTACCTACCAAGAAATTAGATCCCAAGAATTCAAATACCTTGAATGAAAGGAGCCAGATATTTTTGTTCAAAAAGAGCACAGATATGTTTTCTTTTAAGCATTTCTGTTTTATAGTATAGCTACAGGAAAAAATGGTGGGCCATTGGATGGATAAAATGTAATTAATAAATAAGGCCCCTATTGAAAGAACTGGCAAATTCCAATTCACTTCTGAAGAACAGAATCATGCAGTCATTCCTATCTTCTACCCTCTTTTCTTGGCATAGTCCCTTACAACACATCAGTGCTACAAACAACTTTGAATGAGCTGTAAAGGAGAGCTATATGATGGGTAGATGTGTGGGGGGGATCCCATTATTTTTCTCACCACCCTTGAATGCTACTGCCACCTCTAATTGAGTTATAGATCAATTTTCCTGCACCGTGGCTTTCTGATGCCTTGTGCAACAGTTTACTGCTGCTCAAAATGGCTGCAAAATGCCCCAAGTTACCCAGAAGCTCCAATGAGCTGAAACAACTCCTCAAGGACTCCATGTCCACCCCTTTAAAACAGATGTACTCTGCTCAGATCTTCAAACAGAGGTCTACCCTCTATAATGTAGGACACATCACCACTCTAGGAGTATGAAAAACAACTCCTATAAGGAAAGGTTGAAAAAAAACTGTACGTTTAACCAGGAGAAGAAAAAACTGAGGGGGACATGAAAGCATCCCATCTTGTCTTTGGTCTTTGTCTTCTCTGGGGAGTCTTGCCTTCTCATGATGTGTCTAAAGTGTGACAGCTCAGTTTTGTCACTTTTGCTTCTAGGAAAACTTCTGGCTTGATTTGATCTAGGACCCACTTATTTGTCTTTCTGTCAGTCCAGTTAATTCACAAGCTCTCCTCTTGCACCATGTGTCAAATGCATCAATTTTCTTTCTGTCAGCAGCTTCAAAATAGTCCCTGTTTTAAAGCACAATAGCCCCTTTCTGCAGCAGCTGCAGTTTGCTCTGCCTCCTTTCAAAATCAGGGGCCATATTTTAAGCTTTCTGCCCCCAATCACTGTGCCCCCAAAGTTTGGTTGCAAATTCAATGGCAGCAGGGCAAGAATGCAGCATGGAAAATGCAGCACCCCTCCAACATTTGGAAGCTGCCAACCCAGGACTAAATGGACGTACAAGTCCCTTTTCAACTCCATGGTTCTGCTATTATATGATTTTTGATCAGGCCTGGCATCCAGCACACACATCCAGCTGCTGAATGCCCACAACCCAGGTGTTGCTCCTCCTCTTCTCCACTGCAATCTAACAGTTCACCTGCCTGTAGCTTCAGCCCAGATAATGGTGAAAAGGCAGGCCAGGAGATGCTCCTGCGTACTTGCTCACTGGCCTTCTGTCTGCCAAGCAAGCAACTGGTGGTGAAACGGAAGAAGATGAGGAGTGGCAGGAGTTGGTGATCCCAGCAGGGAGGGCCCCATCCCCAAGCCTCACCAGAGGACCCTCTAAAATCTGGAAAGGGCACTGCCCATCTTCTCAGAGTTTCCTCATAATGGGTTTATCTGCATGTCACACTTGCATATTCCAAGTAGCAGTGGACAGATTTGATGGGTCACCTGGGTGTCTGTGACAGAAACAGTTAAGGCAGAGCCTGTAAATTTCTCAGAGTTTAATTCATATTGGAGGCTAAAGATTCATTGTTTTAAACAGAATTTTGCCAAGCAATGATGGACTTCAGTAACAAATTTATAAGTGTGAAGGCCACAGAAAAATAAAAGATGCTTGTACCATACATGCTGGAGCTCAGTGCCAAAGTAACAAGAGATTTTCCCTAATTAGAAAAATTTGAAACCCAGAACCCTTGAAGGCCAGAACCCTGATCTATGACCCATGTTGAACTAACCTGACTGTTAAGATAAAACTCCATTTGTCCATGGTTTTTAATATATTCTCATTATTTTCATTCAGAACTTATAGTTAAGGAGCAGGTAAGTAATCTTTCAGGACATTTTTTTTGTTAAGCTTATATCTGTTTTCTCTCTTTGTTGTCTCCTTCTCCTCTACCTAGAGGTACACTTAAAGTATGACTCATCTTCAGCAACAAAAGATTGCACTGCAGAGTTAAATTCAAGGTTCAAATGTGATTCTGTCTGGTAGGCTTGATTTTCTTTTCTTTCTTCTTCTTTAGTCTGGAGAGGAACTGGTTTGGGAACAGGCTTTTCTTTTGCGAACACAAAACATGTCCCCTTCTGCACTGATGATATGAGTTGCCAACAAAGCTGCAGCAGACACAATGTGAAATGTGAATAGAATTTCCTTTTCTCTTCATGTCCTTAGATTTTCTCTCACAAGGTTAATGGACAACTTTAATGCCATCTGTTCAAGTAAAAAGTATGAGAAAGCTGTGGGAAGTATCCAAAAGAATCCTACAACAGATACCCAAAGATACTGGAAAAAATATTCTTTCTTTAAGAAGCCCCAGGTATTTCTGCTCAATATATTATTTGGGGCCTTCCTTGGGGGAATTCTTAAAAAGCCCTAAGAACTCTGTCAGATTCCATTCTTGAAACACTTGAGACATTTCTGACTGAGTTCTCTGAATGCTTTTAAGAATCCCCAAATAATATCTTAGGCCAAAATGTGATGGATTGCTTAAAGAATAAACTATTTTCCACCATCTTGAAACTAACTCTCTCATTGGATTTATTCTAACAAAACCACTATGTAATTTTCCGCTGTAAGATTCTGAATGGGACTTCCATTGTTCACATAAAGGAATGGAACAGGGAACACACTCACAAATATTCTGACATGCACATGCCAAAGAGCACAATCATTTGCATAAATAACCTATGTGACAGTTCAAGCACAGAGCATCAACAGTTATAATAAACAACCATATACTTACATTTTCTGCTGCCCTTTCTACAAGGAGTTTGGAGCATGGCATGTTGTTCTAATTACCTCCTGCCCCTCACCACCAAATTTCATGCTCATAACAACTTTGGAGGTAAGTGAAGCTTACAATGCAATCCTGTACAAATCAACTCAGAAGTAAGCCACACTGAATTCAGTAGGAATTTACCCTCAGATAAGTGGGTATATGACTGCACTCAAGTCATTCAAGGAGCATCATGTTTAAGCAGGTATTGGATGCCACTATCCACTATGGCCCTGCCTCAAGCAGCAAACTGGTAGTAATTCTTACCTGCTCTCACTTTGGGCCAGGAGTGGCAGGAAAGAGAGCGATTCCCCTCACATTCACTATGGAATATCTTCGCATTCTGTGGAGCAGGGATGGGGAACCTCTAGCCCACAGGCCAAATGGAGCCCTCTTGAGGATTTCCACTCAGCCCCTGTGCTCTACTCACACCTGCTGTGATTTGGCTTCCAGGCTCTCTACAGAGGCAGAAGCATCTTTTCCCCCAGAGCTGGCAGGAGAAAGCAGCAAACTGCAGGCACTGAGAGCCAGATCCTTTTTGCGATTGTGACAAGTAAGGAAAGAAGCTTGAACCGTTTCCCATCCTCGCCACTAGGGTCCTAATCCAGATTAGGGGACAAGAAACCTGCAGAATAAGGATCCCAGTGGGATCCTTTTTAGCAATGCAAACTGCAGCTTCAGAGCACCCACTCTAGATAAGGGCAATGCATTCAACTCCCCTATTCCTCATATCAGCATCCTTCACTGGATAAGAGCCTGAGTGCCTGAAATCTGCAGTGGTGTGAGAATGGATGGATGAGGGTTGTGCATTTGAACATGTCTGTGCGGCTCCAACTCTACCCCCTGCAGACATGCAGCCTTTGACCCCCCAAGTAAATGTGGTCAGTGGTGGGGAAAAAGCTTCCCCTCTAGATGCTTGGCAAGCCTAACTAAATTCACAAGCATTGGATAATGGTGGAAGGAATGGCTGCCTCACCACCCCACGGTATCTTAAGCTCTTTATGTGACTGTTGTTATTTGCCCTAACTCCAGTGCAGAACAATTGATGGCACTCCCTAACCATCTGAGCTAATTGCCACTGAGGTCCAGCTAGCCAAATGCATTTCTCTGATAGTATCCACTTTCAAAGCAAATTAAAGAAGAATGGGAAACAATGTGGTGGAGCCTCATTTTTGAAAATGAAATCCTTGAATAAACCTTGGAAAAAGAAGAGGCACAGTGGAGAAAGCCTCTTTTGAACTGTACAGGTGAGGAGTGTGGTGAGAGGAGAAGAATACCAACTGCTGTGGGTTGTACTGAAACAAGTTTATACGTCTTACCTGATATTTTGACGGGACTTTGAAAGCTTGGTTGAATTTTATGGACGTTGTCATTTTTTAACACCTGATCTAGAGGAGATCTTTCAAAGAAGGTAAGGACAACTTCAGATCTAGAGTACTGGGGGAAAAGGGTGAAAGGGGAAAGTATAATTATGGGGGATCAGCAAAAAAAGAGCAGGTAAGACTTAATTTTCAGGGCCAAACTCAATGTACCTTGTTCTAAGCATTTAATTACTGAAGCAGCAAGTCCTAAGGCTGGGCCTGGAAGCCTCACAAGGATAACCATTCGGGGTGTTTACAGAATTGTTCCAGTCACATAAAAAGAGGGAGCCATGGGTCTGGTTTTATCAGCACAAGCAGCTCACGGGAGCAGGGCACTGGATCTGGCCTGAACCCTCTGCTTTACCTCTGCCAGAAAGCTTTTTAGCCAGCTCAGCACATTGGTTCACTGGTGTTGAACTTCAGCTGTGGAGAGAAGGATGCTGGGAAAAAAACCTCAGGGAAGTCACCTGTGGGTGCTTGCAGTTCTGCATTCCTTTGGCTGGTAAGTCACCCCACCCCAGTCTTTCTGGAGCAAGCAGGGTCACAGTTCAGTGACGGAACAATGCTTCCATGCACAAGGTCGTAGGTTCGATCCACAGCATCTCCAGGTACAGTTGGAGAAACTCCTCCATGAAAAACTCCAGAGAGTCACTGTGAGTCACTGTCAACAATACTGGACTAGTTGGACCAATGGTTTGAGACACTAAAAGGCAGCTTTCTGTTTCTATGGGATTAGCAACATGTGTTTATTTATTCATAACATTTATATCCTGCCTTCAGCTTACATGATTCTCTTCCTTATTTTATTTTCACAACCCTGTAAGGTAGATTAGACTAAGAGTCTGTGACTGGCCCAAAATCATCTGTATTTCACGCTTAAACACATGTAAACGTTGCCATTGTGTCTGGCTGGATTCAAACAGGATCAGTTTGGAAAACTTGCTTGTCTGTCTAATAAATAAATGCTTAGGATGAAGCATATTGAAAGTTACATAATCCCAAAGCACATCATTGCACATACAGTATTTTGCTGCTTTCAGCAGATAGTATAGTAACATTTATGACTTAGGACATTTCCTGCACGTAAGTGATGCTGAATACATGCTGCTATTCTCCCATCTTTTATTGAATCAAATTTTTTGAGAAGAGTAGAACATCATTATTACAATTATACCCCACTTTGCTTTTTTCCGTGCAAGGAACCCAAGGCGTCTTTTCAGTCCAACTCCTCTGCTGAGGCCATGGCACTGGATGCCTATTCACTAGCAGGCCGGGTTCTGGTACTACTGCATATAAAGCCCTCATCAGCTGGGACTAGGTCACATGAGAGACAGCCTCCTTCCTAATCAACCTGCCCACTCACAGAAGCCACCGGAAGGCATGCTCTCGGTGGTTCCACATGGTTGGATCAGCATCCCTTCTGATGGCTCCATTTCTTCCCTGCCTCTTGGAGGTCAGGCTGGAGCTCCCTAAAAACACCTTTATCTCATGAATAAAGGCATGTCATGAGTAGAGCTGGCTGTCAGACTGGATGGCCCGGGAGGCCTCTTCTGCCTTGATCTGCTTCTATGTTTCTAGGAAGCCCTCCTTGGATATCAGCCACAATTTTATTGCTATCCTGTTTGTAACACACAGTTTTATTCTTTCTTTATGCTTCATCTTTTTATAAAGCACTACTCCACAATTTGTTTCACTGTGGAGTAATATATAAATCTTAGGAATGAATACAGTTAAGTACCTGATGCATCAATAATGTGCTACATATTTCAATGCACTTCTCAAAGTATCATTTGTAAGACTATTTGAGGGAAAGCCTGGAGACTTCTACAGCCAAGTCTCACTCCTGCCACTTAAGAACCAGATCTACTTACTTTCCAGGGCATATTGATAATGTTCTTGAGAAGCTTCTCAACTTCGTTGAGCCTGGCTTCTATGTCATGAGACTCTTTGATTGTGATCAGCCCTGGAAACAATGAAGAATGTTAACATCATATTTTGACATCCACAGTTTATTTTCTTCACTGCTATACATGCAATGCTGATCCTATTCTGAGGACTTCCAAGTGGCTAAGAATGGATTGAACAGATTGCTAAAAAAATAAAGAAAATCTCTTTCACTTGTATTAAAAGACCTGACTCCAGTACTTTGCTTAACTATATAATTCTCCAAATGACAGCTCGAATAGATGAAGAAATTAAGTAGGTCTTCAAGTTTTTTCTGCCTCAAGCTGATTTGTGATATGGATGCAAAATCATTTGCCAGAATGAGTCTTTGCTTTATCAAAAGGAGACTTAAAGAATAGGCCTTAATACCTCATGTGTCAGCATGCCTTTAAAAGGATTTGTAAAATACACCCAGGTTTTAGCTTTGCAGCATGTCTGTGCAATTGCAGAAACATACGGCAACTGAGAAAGTTTTTGTACCCCCTTGTGCAGCACACACAGGCATTAAGCGAGTGCCCTTGACTGACTAAAAGTACCCATTCTCAGGTTTCCATCTGGAGCCACCTCAGTCATAACTCTGGTCTCGTGGGCAGCCCTCTCTCATTGACTGTCAATGTCAATCACTCTTTAAGCATGTTTAGTTTAAAATATTTCATGGAACACAAGTTACAAGGATATACCTTGCTGTTTGCTGTTTGTCCTTAATGTTCTGTTGATTTCGCTCCAAAAGTAATGCTCCCTGCAACAGAATCTTGAAGTGCTGTGCTTTACTTTACCCCCCTCCACCCCCAGGAATGAAGAAAACAATTAAAATGGATGAACCATTGAGATGAGATTTTATCTTAGATAATATCCTATCTGTCCCTCATTATCCCAGCCACTGAAAACCAACTTCTTGAACATCAAACCTGATTTTTTGGAGCAACTTATCCTGTGTCTCTGAAAAGCTCTTTCATATTAGATTACAACCCCAATCATCCCCATTGACCATGCCGACTGGGAGTGATGGGAGTTGCAGTCCAACTCATCTAGCGGATGCAATGTGCTGGAAAGCTGCTGTCACGTATGACAGAATGTTTGGGTTTCGCTTTGTGTGTATTACCTAATTATGTATGTTCTGTTATTATTTGATTTAGATGCATTATTTGTGATTTTGGCCTGATTTTATTTTCAAAGCAAGTTGGAGCAGATATTCAGTAAAGAAAATACAATAAACAATTTTGTATTGTTTTTGGAAAAGCATATGAAACAGAGCCTGCTCATTCACATATGCGAGAGAGAGGGAGAAAGAGATGTCAGTTCTGTAACATCCAGTAGAGAGTGCCATAAATACACACACTGCCCAGGATTTTAGCATACAGCTTGCACGCTGCTTTCTCTAGATTGTGCTCCAACGGTGCAATCCCTCCCACATCTCTTTGGAAGTAAGTTTTTTTGAGCTCTCAGATCAAGCATGCTTAAGATTTTAGCTCATACCAAGATCCCATTCATTCTGCTCAATGCACAATGTTCTGTTAGGCTTATTCCAAGGTAAATCTGCACTGGATTGTGCCCAGGTGCCTCTTTTACATTGAAAAGTATCTGTACAACATGCAAGAAGTCTGCTTGTAAAAATTATCTGGCGAAATGTATTTTATTGAAATTTCTAGAAGGCTGGTTGTGTGAGTCTGTTGCAGCAAAAGCAAGCAAGAGGGTCTTTTGGCACCTTCAGAGAAACAAATTTAGTATAGCCTACATTTTGTGGACACTGAAATTCAGAAGGAAACTGTGGGGTATTTGCACTTGATGATCACATATGTAGTCCACATGATGCACAATCTGCTGGAAAGAACAGTACTATTGTTCTTGGTATTTTAATTTAAACCACTTTGAGAACTTTACCTGAAAGAAACATGCCAGAAAAGAAAAAGTGCAGTTCTTTACCTTTAGGAGATTTCTACTTAAAATTAGACATCAGATGAATCAAGTCAACAGTGGGTGAGAGACAAGAGGAAAGGTAAAAATAATCGAAGGAAGGGGGTATGCAAATATGTGATTACAAATAAATACATGTAAATGCTGTTAACATCTGGTTTCACTTGGGATGCAGAGCAGGGTTCTCTCAGTGTGAGAATAGCTTAAACATTCCTGAAACCTGCTTCTAGGAACATTTGCTTAGCGAAACAGACCTGCTCAGAGTTCAAGGAAAGAGTTCTAGCCAAACTTTCTATCTCACTTGCCAGCTATCTATGAATGCCTTTTTGTACAGGCACTTTTTAACAGTCTGTGCTTCTCCATAGCAGATGGTGAATAAATGCCACCACTTTATCAAGGCTTTTGCTTCCAGATTCTCTGTGGAATTAAATTTGGTTCCTTTTCCACATTCTTTTATTCTGGTTTTTTTGGGGGGATGGGGTGATCTGCCTTTTTAATTATTCCATTACACAAGCACTAGTTGGTGCTGTGGTATAGCAAAACTGAGCAAACAGACAAGGGTTCCATGCCACCATTCATAGATAATACCTGTTTTTCCTTAGTCCAAACAAAACGAAACAAAGCAAAGCAAAACAAAACAAATGGTTGCAAAGACTAAGAAAGGCACTGGAAATTGACAACATCAAGTAGAACACCCACAAAATACTGTGAGGGGGAATCATAAGCATTCAATGACTGCCTCATGGTTCAATTGAGAGATGGGTTTGACACCCCATCCGTCAGTTTTGAGAAGAATTAGGCCTAAAGGGACTGCAGGTGGTGCAGTGGTTTAAACTGCTGTGCTGCTGTGCTGGTTGACTGAAAGGTCGCTGGTTCAAATCTGCACAACGGGATGAGTTCCCGTTGCTCCATCCCAGCTCCTGCCAACCTTGCAGTTCAAAAGCATGCAAATGCAAGCAGATAAAAAGGTACCACTTCGGTGGGCAGGTAACAGCGTTCCGTACACTTCAGTGTTTAGTCATACTGGCCACATGACCACGGAGACTGTCTGCGGACAAACACTGGCTCCCTCGGCTAGGAAACGGAGATGAGCACCACCCCCTAGAGTCAGGCATGACTGGACATAATGTCAAGGGGAAACCTTTACCTTTAGGCCTAAAGGGCCTAGAGATCTTAAATAAAGATTCCTTAGCACCGTTTTCATCTTCAAACTCCCGGACTGCTTTGAAAGGAAACCATCCTAATTTAACTAGTTCCAAAGAAACATAGACATGTCCAAACAAAACATAGCAATACATTTGGTTCCAAGAGGAAATTTTCCTCCAGGTGAGATTGGCGGTCTTTTTGGTAATAGATGCATTTGTCTGGGCCTGTGGCATATTTGCTTGCTTGCATATCTAGGTGTGGCCATTTCTACACAGTCCCATTATAACTTGTGCTGGATGCACTGTTGTAGTTTATCTTTCTTACTCCTGCTATCCACTTCTAGTTTGCTAGAACCTCCGACTTGTTAAGGTTGTTGGCTTGGAGGATACTCAGTTTTTAGTTTGGATTCCTTAAGGCAATGGTTTTCAACCTTTCCACAGCTGGGGGACCAGCAAAAACCACCGTAGGGATCGCTGAGGCAGAAACAAAAAGCATCATGTACATAATACAGCATTCTGTGTATTTGTTTCCTAACACAATACCAGAAAGAAAGAAAGAAAGAAAGAAAGAAAGAAAGAAAGAAAGAAAGAAAGATCTCCAAGACAATCAGAAACCGAGCAATAAAAAATGGCAACAAATGAACAAAATACCAAAATCGGCATGGTGCGGCTCTCAGCCAGCTCCCACTGAGCTGTCTCTCCCTTCCCCGCCCCCTCCCCCCAGCAACATGATACCAACCGAGGAAGGGGTGTTAGAGCACAGCAGCCCCCATGGCGGTCTGCGGCAAGCGGGATGCAGCCACCCCATGGACAGACAGGAAATCTCTGATGGACCGGGGCCGGTCCACAGACTGGTGGTTGAAAACCACTGCCTTAATGCATCAGAGTTACTGCACCCATGGCCCATTAACATGATCTTCTTTGATCATCTACTTGTGTTTTGCCTATTCTTTTACTGGAATAATTCTGCCCAGAGTGTATAAGCTCCCAAAATGACAGTATGTGAAAAAATGTAGTGAGAATTTTGTGTATGTGGAATAACACTTTAAAATATTTCACTAGAGAGCCCATGGAATTCTGCCATCAGTGAATCCTATCAGTCGATCTTAATCAGGACAGAGCTATACTACAAATACATCACTTATTTTTATTAGCATTTCAACTTCCCCCAAAGAATCTTGGGAAGCATATTTTGGTGAGAAGTTGAGCATTAACTAGCAGAGTTCCTCCTGACCCTACTCCACTACTCCAAGACTATAATTCCCAGGCTTGAAAAGAGATTGCTAATGAATGGTTGGTGCTCTTCCTGTGTTAAGTCCCTAAAATTGATAATCATAAATGGTTAAATAGCTTGGAAGGAATAATACTGTTCTGACTTACATGGCTATCCATATCCAAACACTGATGATCCTGGGGAAATCTTGTATAACTTTTCTTATAACTTCACTATATGGCAGAAAAGGCAGGCAAAGCCAAACATAAAATAAAAATGGGTCTGTTTTCTGTGGGAACTGTGCCTAAAATGTATGGTTGTTCTTTGAAAGGGCAGCTAACTACCATCTTTGAAATGGGATACTTCTACACCATGGACACTCCTATTATACATTGTTTCAGAAATGTGAAGGAAAATGCTTAATGTCAGCAGGCTTATTCAAGCTTAGTGTAACTCCACATCATCCTCAGTCACGAGAAACATGACATCAGTTCCACTTCTCTCTTCCAGGTGCAGAAATTTCACAAGCCACTGCTTGCATGCTTCCATGCTAATCTTCATAGCCATAAGGGCTGAAACCATAATTATGTTTTCTCTTTGAGAATCTCTGGCTGTAAAATCCAATCCTTGAGAGCAAATTCTATTATACAAGCTGCCCTGAGTATAATACAGGACAGTGTTCATATATAACTTTTGATGTGATCATTTATACTGCTTACACATGGGTGCACACATGTGTGCACCTGT